CCTGTCAGCCATCAGGAAACACTGTGAAGGTATTTTGAAAGAGGCAGCTGAGCTTTCTGAAAGAGTATTTCTGATATCCAACCATCATGCACACATGTATGATTTCCCTCTCCTGCAAGAGAGAATGGCCGCTGAACTTCCTGACCACAAGAAACAAATTTTAACACTGGCTGTGCATATTTTCTCAGAAAATGAATTGATGAAGAAAAAAGAGCTAATGAAAGCCTATATAAAGAAGTTAGCGTGGGTATCTTGTGCTTGTGGAGCGGTGCCTCTCCCGGGTCTCTCTATGGCTTCTGATGTTGGAATTTTTGTAGATGCCCTGAAACATTTCTGTCATGTGTTTGGCTTAGATGACCGGTCCCTCTGTTTTCTGGCTCATCAGACGGGAAAAGAATTTGAAGAGTTGAAGTCGGCTATCAAGAAAACCCCGTTACCCAATACAATAAATGCAGAGCTGGTATTTTCTCTCTTGATGAAGTCATCTGTTTGGGTAACTGTGTCAGTGGTGGAAGTGGCTCTTGATGTTATACCTGTTCTTGGTTCTCTGTTTGGTGGAGCGAGTTCATACGTTGTCACCTGTCATTTTCTGAACAGCTTTCTTGATGATGCTGTGGAAGACGCCCAAAATGTTCTGGCAAAACTTCTTGAGTGATCAGAGTCCCAGGGAAAGTCCCAAGACAACCCCAAACCCCATTTGAAGGGGACCATCAAGCAATTCATCAAAATGAAAGCAGGGAGAGGAAAATAATAATATGCTTCAAAGCCTTATTGGAAGTATCTATCTGCTTGCTCCTTTTAGTAATTCTCTGATTGAAGTACGTGCTTGATCACCCTAGGAGGAAGTGGGTAACTCTGTCTGCAGATATTAGAAAATAAATAATTATCCATATTGTTTTTTGAGGAATGCTTTTCTTTTCTTCTTTTCTCTCTTTGGCTTTTTTCTGTTATATTTTAGCAAAGTGGAGATTATTGTATGAAATTACAAAATTCATGATCCTTTATTTTTAAATATGAGGAAAACAACTCAATGGAGACTGTGTGGATATGTCATTAATGTTATACTTACCATTAATAGCATAAGTACAATAATTGTTTTTGGAAATATATCTCTCTCTTAAATAAAAAGCATTTTAAAGAAAGATTCCTATTTTGTTATCCAACGATGTAACATTATCACTGCTGCCAGGAAACAGCCAAGTTCAGAATATCAAGGACCCATCATAATGCATTCAGTTCTACATATAGGTCATCTTCAGGGAGTTTTTGTCTTATGACCATAACTGAGCCAGAATCTCTGTAGCTGTGAACTTAGTCACACACCTGTTAAGGGAATCTGGCTTCCCCATTGACTTTGCTTGTCAGAAGGTCTCAAAAGGGGATCATGTGATCCTGGGACGCTTCAACCGTCATAAATATGAGTCACCGAGCATCTGAATTTGGATCATGTGACCACGGGGAGGTTGCAATGGTCATAAGTGTGAAAAACGATCACATGTCACTGCCACTGTCAGTTTGAATGGTCACTAAATGAAGTGTTGTAAGTTAAGTGGCTGTATTTTGGGTGACACATTTATTTTGTTTAAACCGTGTTCCCTCTGTTCAAATGTGTGGAAATATTTGGACTTTTCTCCTCTGCTGGTTTTCCCTGCCTTTTAGATAAGTTGAATTGCAAGAAACCATAGAGGAATTTTCGATTCCTGATACACACACACAAACTGCCATTCTTTTTATACAGCCAATGGACTGGGATGCTTGATAGTAGCATTGGAATTGTGGTCATCCTGGAAGGGTTGGTTCCCTCTCCGTCAGTTTCCCCAGTCTTACTTTCCTGTCTTCATCAGAGCCTGTTTCCACTGAAAAAGGAATCACTTCTATCCTTTTCTTTACTCCAATCCCCACTTTTCTCAAGGACTTATATTGTCTTGACGTCTCAACTTCATGCAGATTCTTAAAATAGGGGATGACTAAATAGCCATTTCTCAAAGAGGCTGTAATGGGAGCCACAGATTAGACGGGGGGGGGGGGAGGGAAATTTTATTTTATTTTTTAGAACAATTTTTATTAGTTTTCCATTTTGCACCAACAGAAGCTTAAGAACCAACGTGGAGATATGGTTATCAATTACAAAAAGAAAACAATAGCATTGGACATATACAGTTCACACAATATTTCTTAAAATTTCTCTATCTATATATCATATTATAATCAAATTGATTCAAATAAAATCATTTATTAATATATCTAAATATAAATTATCTTAATCAATTAAAACTTTCAACTGCGCAGTGTCTATTCTATACAAATCTATAATTTCTCACATATTTAAACTTAAACTGAAACGCTCCGTTTATTTAAGATATATTATAATCTCATTAATACATTTCTAAAACAAATTTTCATTTATATTGCTACATATGAATTTCATTAATCAATAAATGTTTAGAAGAGCTCATTATCTATCCCCAAAATCCTGTTTTACACTTTATTAATTTTTCAGATGTTAAAATTTAAACTAACCTATATATTTGCTATTCAGGTACCCCAAGTTTCTCTTATTTAAATCTATTCTTTTTCAATAATTCTCCAATTATTAATTCCATCTCATTCCCCCAAAAAAGAACAAAGAATAAAGAGCAAAAAGAAAAAAAAGAGAGAAAAGAAGCATATTCTTGCTACATTTCAGTATTAAATTCTAAATCATTTCATAATAGCCTCCCTTTTAACAAAATCCAAATCCAAAACAATCCGAGTCGCTATAAAACCTTTACCATCCATAATTATCATCTCAAATTTAATATTTATATCTTATTCTGGGTTTCTTCCTATTCCAAATAGGTTTCCATAGTTGAGTCTCTAGTTCTGCAGATAGCTCTCCCATTCTTGCCTGCCACACTGAACACAGCAACAAGAGGTCTCTCATTGTCCCTTTTATTGGGCTGATATAAGAGTTACAGCTATTCTGAATAACTCGTGTCAGAACATCAGGGAGGGAAATTTTATTGAAGCAGGAGAGAAAGGAGCTTCAATTGATTCCACCTTAACTGTCCTGGGTGCAAGAGGGAGAGAGGGAGGGAAGTTCCCAGGAGGCTTTCAAGATTCAGCAACTAGATCAAGTAGAGTTCTCAGCATTGTAGTGAAATCTGTTTTTTGGCCTGGCTAACTGAGCATGCCCAGCCCCAAATTGGCCAGGTTTAATGAAAGGTGGGGCAAACAGGTGGGTGAGAGTACAGCCTAGCACCCTCCAGCTTGCCTGAGAACTCAGTGCAGGTGGAGGGGAATCCCCCAACCAAGCAGAAGGTGGATTTGCAAGCATCTGGGTACTCAGAAATGGGGGTGGGAAGCATTGTCCTCCCTCCTGGTTTGCCAACATTCCTTCCAAATACAGCAGACGCAAGTGGCAGGTTCATCAACAGTTACATCCCATCCAGGTTGGCTAATATGTTTCTGCTCCGGACGTACTAGCTAGTCCTTTGGAAACCTATGGGAGATAGAGGTAGCTGAGCATGCCTCAAGCTAATGTTGTCTAATGTCTTTTGCCAGCAGACCACAATTTGTGCCATGGCAAGCAGGCATCCCACTTTCTCTGATTCAAAGGGAGTGAAAGCACATTGAGACTTGCAAAATGCTGTTATTACTGAATAGCCAATCTCAATGAAAATAATTCTGGCCTTGCTGTGGAGTTGATTCCCTGGTCTGGTCTGCCTAGCGAGCCTCAAGGACATCCGGAGAGTAGAGTCAGCAAGGCAAGCCACCCCTGGAAGGACAAGAAGGTTTTTATTGATTTGAGTCCTGCCCCTGAAGGTGAAGGTCTGTCTGTCTGTTTGTCTGTCTGTCTATCTATTTATCTATCTATCATCCATCCATCATCCATCATCCATCCATCCATCCATCCATCTATCCATCCATCCATCCATCTATCCATCTATCCATCCAGTGGTGGGTTCACTATGCTGCTTCTGGAAATCCATTCTGGGTATGGACAACAAAAAATTAGCTACCAATTCTACCGAACTAGTGCGAACTGGCTGAATCCCACCACTCTATCTATCTATCTATCTATCTATCTATCTATCTATCTATCTATCTATCTATCTATCTACCTACCTACCTACCTACCTACCTACCTACCTACCTACCTACCTATCTATCTATCTATCTACTTTTCAAGCTGCCCATTCCTTTGCAAAGGTGCTCTGCGTGGTGTACAGGTTCAATTTCAAACCATAAAAACAATATATAAAATTTAAAAGGCAAGGATGGATTAAAAGCAGTGTGCAAGTTATTTAAAAGGTGGTTGGAGGGCTTTTAAGTCACCACCAACCAAACCAACAGCTATATGCTCCTCTGTGTGGCCCAAGTTTGTTTTTATACCTTTCCAGAGGGCCATGAAAGTGGGGAACTAGATCGTCTCTGAGGCACAGTTTTCCACAAGGCTGAGAAGACTCCCTCCCTGGACCCCACCAGTCAGAATTCTTTAGCTGACAGGTCGAAAACGTGCCTGCTTGGGTGGGATGGGCTGATGGAATGAAAAAAAGATAGTTCCATAGTTAATGTGGCCCCATCATGTAAGATAATAACCAACCCCATGAATTTTACCTGGAAGCAAACTGAAAAGATGGCCATTGTGCCTTATGCAGGCTGGGAACCCTCAATCTAAAGTCAGTGATCTGCAGAAGGGGCACAAATGCACTCCTCTACGATATGTCTAGGTCTGCAGCTGCTGTTTTACTAACAGGTATGAACACCTCCAGTTCTGGACAAACATTTGAAATGATATAGGGTTGCCTGCCTGAGCAAGGGGGTTGGACTAGGACAGGGCTATGCTGACTCAGGAATTCTGGGAGTTGAAGTCCATGAGTCATAAAAGAGTCAAGGTTGCCTACATCTGGACCTGGAGACCTCCAAGGTCCCTTCCAATTATTCTGTATTCTGTAATTTTCCTTTTCCCTTTGCTTCCAGTTTCCTACTTGGATTAAAAAAAACCACATCCCTCTTCTTCTGTAGTGTCTGCTATTTTTAGGAAGCGAAACTGAAGACAATCCAAAGGTACTTTCGTTTTCCTATAAAGCAGCTGATTTTCCCACTGGTCCATGTGGGGAGCGGGGTCTCTGATAGGCTGGAGCGTGTGTGATTGGAAATGGGAGGAGGGTTTTATTACTTCGAAGAAAACCTGCCCGCCGCATTTAGGCGTATGTAAGGGGCAATCGGAGCTTTCAATCTGAGGAATTTGGGTCCGTCCCAGCCTGCGTGGGGGTCTTCGACTTCTGCTCCTTTTAGAAAAGCAAGTAAGCCTTTGTTTCTACGCCTTTCCCCTCTCTCGCTTTAGCTGCTGTAGATTCTGCGTTCCTCGCTTTCAAATTCTGTTCTCTTTACAACAGTGACAGTTGATCTTCCTGTAAAGGAGCATGCAATCTCATTTTCTTTCGCGCTGAAGAATGTCTGCATTTTGCCTAGGAAGCTGCAAAGGGCTGAAAACTCTTCAGGTTTTTTTGGGGGGGGGCAAAAAAGGAGGGGGGGGGGGAAGTGAAGTATTTTCAAGTCTGCAAAACTGAGGTCAACTTAGGAGATAGACCAGATAGGAAATTCGACCGGATGAGGTCATTCCGCTTTATGATTCAATGACCCTAAGAGAATCTTGCAAATCTGGAAGAGAGGAACGTTAGAAAGAAACTTCAGCTGATTCCTCCTTAACTGGCTTTTGATGCAAAAAGGAGGGATGGAAATGGCCCCCTGGCTTCCACCGGTAGCTGGAGCTTTAGAGGCATGAGAGATAAAGGAAGACAAATGAATTTCTTCACTTGCATTTTCTTTCAAATGGCACCCTCCCTCCCTAGTCATTATTTATTCTTTAAAAATGGATTATCTGCCATTAAATAATGTTTGTCCCATAAGAGACCACATAAATAAGACAACCTTTGACACTTTTGTCTGTGAAAACAGTGGCACACATTAATAAATTAAATTTCTGATGCCTGCTCTGAAAAGAATGTGTCCGTGTGTGTGTGTGTGTGTGTGTGTGTGTGTGTGTGTGTGTGTATGTGTGTGTTTGTATTCCCTTTATATGGCATTTTCCTTCCCCATTCTGCAGATTTTCCTACAAAGATTCGTTATGATAAAAATGGACTCTTGAAAAAACAAGCTTTTTGTAACACATATTACCTGTTGTATTATTTTTTAATTTTAGATTATACACACACACACACACAAACATACATACATACACAGGATTTGGATTTATATAGATGAAATGTTATTGATGAATGTTCTGATCGATTGAATTTTATTGAAAAATACTTTAATTTGAATATATTATATTATTTGAGGAAAATAGAGAGGGAATTTCAATGTTTGGATGATTGATTACCCCATCACCACATTGTTTCTCAAGCACCTTGTTGTAAAAATAAAAAAAATCAATAAAAGTTGTTTAAAAAGAATTTCATTTTTTAATGTGTGCCATTGTTTTCACAGACAAAAGTGTCAAATGTTGTCCTTTTTATGTGGTCTCTATGGGACAAACATTATTTAATGGCAGATAATCAATTATGTGTATAATTGATTATACCACAATTTGGATACATCTGTGCCATGGCAGGCAGGCATCGTGCTCTCTCTGATTCAAAGGGAGGCTGGGGAGTCACAGCACAGTGAGACTTGCCAAATGCTGTTATTACTGAATAGCCAATCACAATGAAAATAATTCTGGCCTTGCTGTGGAGTTGATTCCCTGGTATGGTCTGCCTAGTGCGCCTAAAGGACATCCGGAGAGTAGAGGCAGCAAGACTACGCCACCCCCGGAAGGACAAGAATATTTTTATTGATTTGAGTACTGCTCCTGAGGGTGAAGTTCTGTCTGTCTGTTTGTCTGTCTGTCTGTCTGTCTGTCTGTCTATCTATCTATCTATCTATCTATCTATCTATCTATCTATCTACCTACCTACCTACCCATCCATCCATCCATCCATCCATCCATCCATCCAGTGGTGGGATTCAAATATGTGAACAACTGGTTCTCTATGCTGCTTCTGGAAATCCATTCTGGGTATGGACAACAAAAAATTAGCTACCAATTCTACCGAACTGGTGCGAACTGGCTGAATCCCACCACTCTATCTAACTATCTATCTGTCTGTCTGTCTGTCCGTCCGTCCGTCCATCCATCCATCCATCCATCCATCCATCCATCCATCCATCCATCCATCCATCCATCTATCTATCTATCTATCTATCTATCTATCTATCTATCTATCTATCTATCTATCTACTTTTCAAGCTGCCCATTCCTTTGCAAAGGGGCTCTGCATGGTGTACAGGTTCAATATCAAACCATAAAAACAATATATAAAATTTAAAAGGCAAGGATGGATTAAAAGCAGTGTGCAAGTTATTTAAAAGGTGGTTGGAGGGCTTTTAAGTCACCACCAACCAAACCAACAGCTACATGCTCCTCTGTGTGGCCCAAGTTTGTTTTTATACCTTTCCAGAGGGCCATGAAAGTGGGGAACTAGATCATCTCTTAGGCAGAGTTTTCCACAAGGCAGGGACAGTGGCTGAGAAGACGCCCTCCCTGGACCCCACCAATCAGAATTCTTTAGCTGACAGGTCGACAACGTGCCTGATTGGGTGGGATGGGCTGATGGAATGAAAAAAAGATAGTTTCATAGTTAATGTGGCCCCATCATGTAAGATAATAACCAACCCCATGAATTTGACCTGGAAGCAAACTGATAAGATTGCCATTGTGCCCTATCCAGACTGGGAACCCTCAATCTAAAGTCAGTGATCTGCAGAAGGGGCACAAAAGCACTCCTCTACAATATGTTTAAGTTAATTACCTGCTGATCAAAATGACCTCAGAAGGTGAGGTGGCCTCTTACTAAGGACTATGGTGGTTTTCGTAGGCATAGGGATTGTGAAAGGAGACATGACACAACTGAGAAAATCACAATCTCTCTCTTCATTTCCAGATAACCTGCACAGAAGAAAAAGCAACTATGGGCAATATATTTCTAAAAGATGATGTAAGGAGAGAATTTGATGATTTAAAGAGTCATTTGAATCAAGGCAATATCCCTGAAGCGGCAGCTGAATACAGAGGATATTTGAATAAAATGCAAAATCTGCCACTTAATATTGCAGTTGTTGGAAAGGCGGGTGCTGGTAAATCCTCCTTCATTAATGCCTCCCGGGGCATAAATGATGATGATGAGGAAGCAGCCGAGGTTGGTACAGTAGAGGAAAAAACGGTGCCAAAGGCACATCCCCACCCTTCTCTTCCCAATACAACGATATGGGAGCTACCGGAGATCAGAACATGCAATTCTAACGCAGCTGATTATCTCAAGAAGGTCCAGTTTGAAAGATATGATGTCTTTGTTTTGATTGTCACTGACCGCTTTACTGAAAACGATGCTTTCCTGGCCAAGGAAATACAAAGAAGGAGAAAGAAGTTTTACTTTGTGCGTAGCAAAATCGATATCAGTATGGAAGGTGAAAGGAGGAAAAGGAATTTCAACATGGAGCAAACCCTGGAGACCATCAGGAATTATTGTGAAGATACCTTGAAGGAGGCAGCTGAGCTCTCCACGAGAGTATTTCTGGTATCCAACACGCATGCACACATGTACGAATTCCCTCTCCTGCGAGAGACAATGGCCACCGAACTTCCTGATTACAAGAAGCACCTTTTAACCCTGGCTGTGCATGTTTTCTCAGAAAATAATTTGATGCAGAAAAAGATTTGCATGAATTCCTATATAAAGAAGTTAGCGATAGTATCTTGCCTTGGTGGAGCACTGCCTGTTGTGGGTCTCTCTATAATTTGTGATATTGGAATTCTGATAGATGCACTGATATGTTTCAGGCGGGTGTTTGCCTTAGACCAGGGGTCCCTCCATTTTCTGTCACTTCAGACAGGAAAAGGGTTTGAACAGCTGAGATCAGGGATCAAGAAAAGGCCATTAGTCAAAAGAGTCAATGCACAGCTAGTATTTTTTTTCCTGATGAAGTCTGCTTTCCTGGTTATGCCATCGTTTGTGAAATATCTGGGGACATATCCTCATGTAACTGTGTCAGTTGTGGAATTGCCTCTTTCTTTTATACCTGTTATCAGGTCTGTGTTTGGTGGAATGAGTTCATTTGCCGTCATGTATTATTTTCTGAACAAATTTCTCAACAATGCGGTGGAGGATGCCCAGAATATTCGAGAAAAGCTTCTTAAGTGATCAAAGTCCCTGCGAACAATCCAAGGAGACATCCAGCCCCCTTTGAAAGAGAGCATTTCATCCAAATTAGGAGGAAAATATATTAATATGCTTCAGTGCTTTATTACAACTTTCTATTTGCTTGCTGGTTATTCTCCGATTGAAGTATGTGCTTGATCAGCCAAGGGGCAAATAAGTCTCTTTGGTTGCAAATGTGTCCATGAGAAATTATAAACTAAGTATTTATCTATGGTGTTTCATTTGCTTTTTTCCTGTTCCAGGTGTAACAATGATCACTAATAAAAGGGTTGGGATGATCCTCCTCAATTTTTCCGGCTTCACTTTCCTCATTCATCTGATGGCCTGCAGATGTCAATGAAAAGGGCCTGGCCCAGCCTCCCAAACTTTCAACTTCATCTTGACCTGGTCCCAAGACAAGCTAAGGCTGGGTAAATAAGGGATCAAACAAAGGGGATCCAGAAGCTCCTAGAATGATGTTGCCATTCTTTCCATAAGAAGGAATTGCCATCTTTTCTTTGGATTCTCATGATATATTGGCACAGATTCCTTCACAGCTACTCTGACGACTTACTGAAAAGGGAAAACAAGGTGACCGGCATGAGATGAGGCCATTTAGAAGCTGAATCAAGGATAAAGGGGTCCCCACTTGTCTCTACCCAGGTTTACACCAGTTACCATAATCCCAGGTTCACCTTCTCTGTGTATGGAAGTAGAAGTTGACGTCTCCTGTTCTGCTTCCAAGGGCAGTTTGAGAACTACTCCTGGTAGAAAAGCAATTATTTCTTAAGTGGTGTCACAGGGTTCTTTTTCAATATCCCATTCAGTGGGCTCCTCAAATTCCAGAAGCCTCTCCCCCACCCCCAGCCTTGTTTCAGCTACCCAGCCACCAGCAGACCCAATTGCCCCAATTTGATTCTACACCCTTCCTAGGTCTACAGCTGCTGTTTTACTAACAGGTATGAACACCTCCAGTTCTGGACAAACATTTGAAATAATATAGGGTTGCCTGTCTGAGCAAGGGGGTTGGACTAGGACAGGGCTATGCTGACTCAGGAATTCTGGGAGTTGAAGTCCATGAGTCATAAAAGAGCCGAGGTTGCCTACATCTGCACTTGGAGACCTCCAAGGTCCCTTCCAATTATTCTGTATTCTGTAATTCTCCTTTTCCCTTTGCTTCCAGTTTCCTACTCGGATTAAAAAAATCCACATCCCTGTTTTTCTGGAGTGTCTGCTATTTTTAGGAAGCGAAACTGAACACAATCCAAAGCTACTTTCGTTTTCCTACAAACAGCTGATTTTTCCCACTGGTCCATGTGGGGAGCGGGGTCTCTGATAGGCAGGAGCGTGTGTGATTGGAAATGGGAGGAGCGTTTTATTACTTCGAAGAAAATCTGCCCGCCGCATTTAGGCGTATGTAAGGGGCAATCGGAGCTTTCAATCTGAGGAATTTGGGTCCGTCCCAGCCTGCGTGGGGGTCTTCGACTTCTGCTCCTTTTAGAAAAGCAAGTAAGCCTTTGTTTCTACGCCTTTCCCCTCTCTCGGTTTAGCTGCTGTAGATTCTGCGTTCCTCGCTTTCAAATTCTGCTCTCTTTACAACTGTCACAGTTGATCTTCCTGTAAAGGAGAATGCAATCCCATTTTCTTTAGCGCTGAAGAATGTCTGCGTTTTGCCTAGGAAGCTGCAAAGGGCTGAAAACTCTTCAGATTTTTTTTGGGGGGGGGGAAGGAGGGGGGGGAAGTGAAGTACTTTCAAGTTTGCAAAACTGAGGTCAATTTAGGAGATAGACCAGATAGGAAATGCGACCGGATGAGGTCATTCCGCTTTATGATTCAATGACCCTAAGAGAATCTTGCAAATCTGGAAGAGAGGAACGTTAGAAAGAAACTTCAGCTGATTCCTCTTTAACTGGCTTTTGATGCAAAAAGGAGGGATCGAAATGGCCCCCTGGCTTCCACCGGGAGCTGGAGCTTTAGAGGCATGAGAGATAAAGGAAGACAAATGAATTTCTTCACTTGAATTTTGTTTCAAATGGCACCCTCCCTCCCTAGTCATTATTTATTCTTTAAAAATGGATTATCTGCCATTAAATAATGTTTGTCCCATAAGAGACCACATAAATAAGACAATCTTTGACACTTTTATCTGTGAAAACAATGGCACACATTAATAAATAAAATTTCTGATGCCTGCTCTGAAAAGAATGTGTGTGTGTGTGTGTGTGTGTTTGTGTTCCCTTTATATGGCATTTTCCTTCCCCATTCTGCAGATTTTCCTACAAAGATTTGTTATTATGATAAAAACGGACTCTTCAAAAAACAAGCTTTTTGTAACACATATTACCTGTTGCATTATTTTTTAATTTAAGATTATACACACACACACATAGATACACAGGATTTGGATTTATATAGATGAAATGATTGTTATTGATGATTGTTCTGATCAATTGAATTTTATTGAAAAATACTTTAATTTGAATATATTATATTATTTGTGGGAAATAGAGAGGGAGTTTCTAACGTTTGGATGTTTGATTACCCATTGTGTGCCATTGTTTTCACAGATAAAAGTGTCAAAGGTTTATGTGGTTTCTATGGGACAAACATTATTTAATGGCAGATAATCAATATATATATATATTCTCTCTCTCTATTTCAGTGTTTCTCAACCTTGACAATTTTAAGGCATGTGGACTTTAATTCCCAGAATTCGACAGCCAGCATTGCTGGCTGTGGAATTCTGGGAGTTGAAATCCACATGCCTTAAAATTGTCAAGGTTGAGAAACACTGCTCTATTTATACACACACATATAGATACATATGTATATTAATCACAATCCATATTGTATACATAGCAGAAGAAAGAGTCTTGAGAGTTAACAAAGTTGATACTACATGGTACAAAGCTATTACAGAATCTAGTTGTTCTGCTTCGGATACCACGAAGCTTCCTCCCAAAAGGCAACAAGGAAAACAGGTCATGGACAGGTTGTGGAGAGTCCCTGACCATACTGCACACCCTGGTCAAGCATCTCGTATATGCTATGTAAATAGATTTCCTCCATGACAATCTATCCCTCACCTGTTCTTTCAAGACTCTTCATGATGCATTCATGACCACTGTATATGAGTCCATCCCCTTTGCTGCTGATCACCCCTTTCTTCTTTTCTTCCCTTCAAGTTTTCCCCCCACCAGAGCCTTCTGCAGAGAGCTGGGTCTTCACATCATGTGTCCAAAGTCAGTTCATTTGAGCCTGGACATTTGAGCCTCGGTGAGAACTCTGGGTTGATTCGTTTGATGATCCATTGGTTTGTTTTCTTGGCTGTCCACGGTATTCTCCGGGGTCTTCTCCAACTCCAAAATTCAAAGTGCCTGACATAGCTGAGAGACATCCCAGTGTCTCTTTTCCTTTCCAGATATTCTGCACACAAAAAAGCGCAAGTATGGGCAGTAGAGATCCTATAATCAGAGAATACGAAGTCTTAAAGAGTAACTCCCAAGAGAGGTTAAATGAAATGCAGTATTGGCCCCTTAGTATTGCAGTTACTGGACTGGCAGGGGCTGGTAAATCCTCCTTTGTCAACGCCTTCCGGGGTGTAAGCAACGAGGATGAGGAGGCAGCCAAGGTTGGGCCAGAAGAAAAAACCTTAGAGCCAAAGGCGTATCGTCACCCTTTTATTGCCAAAATAACAATATGGGACCTTCCAGAGATTGGAACGTGCAACTTTAATGCAGAGAAATATCTGAACGAGGTCCAGATCGACAAATACGATGTCTTTGTTATTGTTGCCTCCCACTGCTTCCTTGAAAATGAAGCTCTGCTGGCAAAGGAGATAAAAAGAAAGGGAAAAATGGTTTACTACGTGCGTACCAAAATAGACGTCTATATTGAAGGCGCAAGGAGGGAAAGGAATTTCAACGAGGAGAGAACCTTGGCGCGGATAAAGAAATATTGTGAAGATGGTTTGAGAGGGGCCGGGGACCGTTATGCAAGGGTATTTCTGATATCCAACCATCATATGCACTTGTATGATTTCCCTACCTTGAAACACAAAATAACCGCGGAACATCCAGAGCAGAAGAAGCTTATTTTAAAACTGGTTCTGCAGATCTTCTCAGAAGAAAATTTGAAACAGAAAAAAGGGAAAATGAAAGCCCGAATAAATAGGGATGCGTTTGTATCTGGCACTATTGGAGCCGTGCCTATTCCGGGTCCCTCTCTTCTTTCTGATATTGGAATTTTGCTGAATGCCCTGAGACGCATCCGCAGTGAATTTGGTCTAAACGAAAGGACCCTCCGTTTTCTGGCCCTTGAGACGGAAAAAGAATATGAAGAGCTGAGGTCAGCAGTCAGGAGAACCCCCTTAGTAATCAATAGGGAATTGGTGCTTTCTTATTTGAGTAAGTCCTCTGTTTGGATGGCTGTGTCGGTTGTGGAACTGGGTTTTGATTTTATACCCGTTGTCGGGTCTGTGTTCGGTGGAGTGAGTTCATTTGGTGTCACATATCACTTTCTGAACAAGTTTCTTGACGATGCTATGGAAGACGCCCAAAATGTTCGAGTGAAACTTGAGGAATCAGACTTCCAAGACACCCCAAGCCCGTCTTGAAGGAGACAGTCAAGCATTTCATCCAAATAAGAAGAGGGGGGAAAATAATAATAATATGCTTCAATGCCTTATTAGAACTATCTACCTGCTTCTTCTTTTAATAATTCTCCAATTGAAGAATGTGCTTGATTCTGCTAAGAGCAGTTAAGTATCTCTGTCTGCGGCTGTTCCCGTGGGAAGTCAGAAATGAAATATTTATTTATATTTTGGGGGAAATTCTTTTCCTTATCTGTTTTCTCACTTTTGCTTTTTTTGTTGTTGTTCTTTTTGTAACAATGATCAACAATAAACTAGTGGAGCTTTTGCTGCAAAATTCATAATCCTTTTTTAAAAAAATATCAAAACCAATGCAATGTACGGTCTTAATCTTATTAATCTTATATTGGTGGTACAAATTACTTTCTTAATCTTATTAATGTTATATTGAGCATTAACCGTATACGTTCAATAATGATCTGTTCACCCACATTTTTTTAGAAAAAATATCTGTTTTTTTAAATCAAAAAGAATTTTATCCAGTGCTGGAGTTGGCCAACCAAATTGAAGGGGGAACCACTAGAGAAGCTGCTAGAACAGTGGTGGCGAACCTATGACACGGGTGCCAGAGGCGGCACTCAGAGCTCTCTCTGTGGGCATGCGCGCCATCACCCCTATCCTAGGCCTTCAGCTGGGTATTATAAAACCTTTTTGCTTTAGGCCTCTGCCGCCATGTGCAAAAAAAAAAAAAAAAAGGTTCAATCAGTTAATTACAACTTCTTGCGAGGAAAGAAAAAGATCTCGCAAAGTTGGAATTGATTGATTGAACTTTTTAGTCCCACCCACTCTGCCATTACCACTGTAGCCACGCCTACCCAATGGGCCACACCCAGCCAACGGGCCACACCCACCCAGTAACCAACGATGCATAAGTGGGTTTTGGGTTGTAGTTTGGGCACTCGATCTCTAAAAGGTTCGCCATCACTGTGCTAGAAGCTACTGAACTGCATTGCAATTTATCCACTGTAATATTTGCAACTCACAAACTGAGGAACAAATAGTTGGTGAGCTTGTGAACAAAGCTGTCTGGATGTCCCTTGGCTGAGAACAGAAGGTTCAAAGGCTCTCTCAAGGCAGATAAAACAAGCTCGAATTGAAGAGAATCTTCTGTAGCTCAGGGTTGAACTTTGATCTCTCTGAGCTTGGTGTGTTGCTTGCAGACGTCTCATTACCCCACGAGGTAACATAATCAGTGCTGCAAGCAAAGAGCCAAGGTCAGAGAACACCAAGGACTCCACAGAATAAGCTCAGTTCTGCATACAGGCCCTCCTGCCATTTGTGCTGGTAAAACCTGACTTGGAGATCCCTGATTTCCCGTGAAGGAATTATTCCTGGTTTTAAAGGCATCTGATTTGTACAACACACCCGTTTTGTCTCAGCTGTGCTCCCACTTTACAAAAGTTGCAGAAGTATTTGGACTTTTCTCCTCTGGTGGCTGCAATTCTACTATTGATTCAAGAAAGAATTATCGTCTTAATGTCTTAATTATCGTCTTCATGGAAAGAAACGTATCAGATACGTTTCCATGGAAACGGTGACGAAGCTTAAGGAGAACTTAATGCGCCAATTAGCACATATCCCTTCTATGTTTCTACAGCTAATCTTTAACTTCTTTGAACCTACCATAGAATCTTTCCTTTTTTCCTCTTTGCCTCCCGGACTACCCGCACAGTTGTAACGCTACAAGAATCAAACCAACCGAAAGAGGGACGCTCTCTCTTTCCTACATTCCTTTGCAAGTCCACGGAAACGTGTTGAGAAGGAAAAGCTGACAGATCAGCTCCACAGAAACAAAGGGGCACCATTCTTACGGTAGATCGTAGAAAAATCCAGGGAAAGGAGGGTTTGTGGTTCTCTGGGAAACAGTAAAAGTTTCCCCTGTCCAGTCATGTTCAACTCTTAAGGCAGTGGTTCTCAACCTTTTTAATGCCGTGACCCCCAACCGGTCGTAAGTCGAGGACTACTCAACCGGTCGTAAGTCGAGGACTACTCAACTGGTGCAGCACCGTTTGCAGAATGGGACTTTTGGCGGGCTCAGCAGGGCAGAGACAGCCTGGACAATTCCTATTGGCTTCTGAAAGCCAATAGAATTAGACTCTATTCAAGAGAGTCTATTCTATGGGCTTTCCAAAAGCCAATAGAATAAAAGGGAGTAGCACAGCTAAGGAAAAGGGGAAAAAATGGCGGACTGCATTGTTTGGCGACCCCCGTGAAATGGTCGTTCAACCCCAAATGGGGCCCCGACCCACAGGTTGAGAACCACTGTCTTAAGGGGTGATGCTTATTTCCGTCTCTTAGCCCAGGGAGCCAGTGATGTCCAGAGGGATTTCTGTGGTCATGTAGCCAGCATGACGATAAGCCCACCGAAATTTTTCTACTTGCATTTTGCCTTGCCTTCAGAAATTGTGGGTGCCCCATTGCTGGAGGCTTTAAGAAGAGACTGGACAGCCACCTGTCTGAAATTGTATAGGCTCTCCTGCTCGAGCAGGGGGTTGACTAGAAGACCTCCAAAGTCCCTTCCAACTCTGTTATTCTATGTTGTATGTTCTGCTCTGGCTACTGTATTAAAAGGGAAAACAGGTATGAGGGGAGGCCATTTTGATATCTGATATTTTCAATGATATTTTGGTTCCCACACGTCCCCACCCAGGCTACACGAAATGCTATAATACCAGGTTCACACGGTCCGTGTATGGAAGATAGAACTTGACTTTACCTTTTTTGTGGTGGCTTCCAAGGGCACACATTGAAATCTTCGTACCACAATACAAAATTGAATGAGCAGTACAAATGCATGTTGTAGTTAGTCCTAGAAAGAGAGAATGGATGAGCCAGCCTTCATCCCTCTGACAACGAAAAACAAGTAGGTGTTTATGTAGACCAATCTGCCTGGCTGGGAATTCTACCTGTTGAAGTCTCACACCTGCAATATTGCCAAGTTTAATAAAACACTGTTTGTTTCACAGTGTCCGTCACTGTACTTGCAAAGAACGAAACTGGTGCCAGTCCAAAGATACTTTCTTTTTCCTGTAAATCAGCTGCTTTTAATGCTGGACTCCATAGGAAATTCAGGTTTTGATAGGCAGGATTCCAGTCATGCAAAATGGGAGGAACGTTTTTATCATTTGAAGAAATATGGAACTTAAGAAACAAAAAACAGGACATTAGGGGGTTTATCAGAGAGATGCAGTCCTTCTGATCGGAGGAGTCTGGCTCTTTTTGAAAGCGATCAACACCAGCCTGCCGAGAGACCTTTGAGAATTATTCCTTTTATAAAAGCAAGTAAGTATTTGTATACACTTTCCCCCTCTATAGGTTTAGATATTGTGGATTCTGTACTCCTTGCTTTCAAATTCTCTGTTCTCTTTTCAGTTTCTGCTGATCTTCCTATAAAGCAGCCTTCAATAGCATTTCCTTTCTCCTAAAGATTGTGTGCATTAGGAATCTGTGAATGGCTGAAAACCCTTCAGCGTTAAGGAAATCCATGCACCCTTCTTCCCTCATTTCTGGACCCCAGGTTTTTGTGGGTGGCTTTGGGGAATCAGCCAAAGAAGCAACAACACATTTCCCTTCCCTAAATTGGGTGGTGCCTTCTTTGGGTCTACACTGGATTGTTGGGCTGGACTTTGATATACTTAATAACTGGGTTTGCTTAGGTTTGTCCTCCGCTGTTGTAACATGAACCATGCCTTGCAAGTCTGAAAGTACTTCAGAGAGGAAGAGAGCATTAGAAATAAACGTATACTGGTTCCTCCTTAACTGTCTTGGGTTCAAGAGGGAGGGAGGGAGGGATTGAAATGACCATCAGGCTTCCAAGATTTGGTAACTAGAGTTTTGTAAACAGAGAGATATGAAATTCTTCACCTTCGTTTTCTTTCCCATGGGTGAAACCGCTTCAAGGAAGAGAATAGAGTATGTATGAAAAGAAAGAACAAACGGCCAGAGATGTAGAGTGATCTTAAGAGGAGGGGTTGGCTTTGTCTGCCTGAGGAGGAGAACATCTGGAAAGCTTCTTGCTCCCCTGGCAGGCTTTCACTCCACCTCACCTCTTTGGACATTGATCCAGGCAGAATTGTGGTTGCAATTATGAAAGGCACCAGTTCATTTTTGAGCCCAGTTTTTTTTTGAGGGTGGCTTTGGGGAATCAGCCAGAGAAGCATCAGACTTTTCTCCCCTGTGTTTGTTGATATCTTCTTTGGGTTTACACTGGATTTGGGGCTGGACTTTAGTTCAGTTAATAAATAGATTGGATTGTGTTTGTGGCCAGGCAGATATTTTCTCAATAAGAAAGGAAAGCAATGGAATATGTATATACCGGTGTATAAAAAGAAGAGCTGAGGGGGGTTGTGGGGTGTCAAGGGTGTGTGTGTGTTGGTTTTCTCTGGTTGGGGAGGAGAACTTCTGGAAAGCTTCTCCCTTCCCTGACTGGTTTTTCATCCCCCCTTCTTTGGACATTCATCCGGGCATATTGGTGTAATTATCAAAGGCACCAATATTAATAGTATACGATTACAACTTGACCTTGACACACAATAGAAAGAACAGACAGACAAAAGACAACTTAGCCAGCAGTAATAATGTAAACGGAGCAAGAGGCACAAAAGAGACCCTCTCTAGTTTTTTGGTAAAACTGAGAAGTGAAGTACTTTCATCTTTGCAAGAGTGATTTCAGCTTTAGCAATAGCATTTAGGCTTACATTTTGTTCATAGTGCTTTATAGCAGTCTCTTGGAAGTTTACAATGTAGCAGCATTATTTGCATATTGACCCCAACAATTTGGGTCCCCATTTTACCAACCTTGGAAGGATGGAAAGCTGAGTCAACCTCAAACCGGTCAGGATCGAACTGCTGGCGGTGGGAATGCAGAGTTAGCGGCAATGCTGCATTCTAATCACCAGGGCTTTGGAAAGATTTAAGACCTTTAGAATTTAGACCAGATAGGAAACATGATCAAATGGCTTATGCTACTTTATTGTAAGGTTACATTAATGGAATTTTGCAAGTTTGAAAGTACTTCAGATCCTTTCAAAGAGAAAGGGAAGATTAGAAAGAAGCTTAAACAGATTCCTCCTTAACTGTTTTGGGATCTAGAGGGAGGGAGAGATTTAAATCACCATCAGGCTTTCAAGATTTGGTAACAAGAGCTTTGTAGACATGAAGGGCAAGCAGAGAGATATGAAATCAATCACTTTCATTTTCTTTCCAAAGTCATCCGCCTTCTCCAGTTATGTTTATTTTTTTAACTGATTTTATGCCATCAAATAAGTTTTATCCCCT